CACCGCCTCCGCCTTCAACATCGTCCTTATCAGCTTCGACAGGTTCATCTCGGTCACCAAAGCGGTAAGGACGGGGCAGGTGGGCCGGAGGGCGGGCTGTAGGGGCTCCGAGGCTGCAGGACGGGTTGCTTAGGTCCCCCGGTGCTCAGCCCCCTCAGAAGATGGGGTGTGGGCAGCTCCCTCTGCCCTGGAAATGATTCTGGAGGGAGCAGCTTGGGCAAAAAAGCCAGCTGCTTCTCCCTTTTACATGCGAGGAGCTGCTCTGCTTCAGAAACCGATATAGTTTGTATATGCTGCTGTTCCAGCTAGAAGAGCAGAGGGAATAGGCTGTACTTAGCTCCTGCCCACCCACACCTGGGATAAGCTTAAGAAGTACTATCCAGCTGAAACGACCATCATACTCTGAACAGGGCAATGCTGCTGGGGACAAGTAACAACCCAAGCCAGCCTAGCCACATCCCAGCTGCAGCCCAAGGCAGAGACAGATCTTGCAGTAGGTGCCAAACTCCACGGAAGAACCAGATGTATACAGCTGTGTACAGTTCAAAAGTGGCAGAATGTAAGTTAACATCCTTCAAAGGATACAAATGCTTTTTCACATAACAGCCAAATAAATAGCTAGAGCCTTGTCTCATTTGTGCAGCATGTCAGTTATTGAAAAAGGGGCAGACTAGACTTTGCAAAAATCAAAAGCTACCATCATTTTCACCTAGACCATACTGCCTCGGAGTATTCTCAATTGTGCCAGAACAACGCATTTTACCTGATAATAGGTTTCACTCTTCTACACACCCTTCTTGGTAATTTTTCAGCCCCTTGTTCCACCCACGTTTCCTTTAAATAGTAATTTAGCTTCATTGCTCATTCTAAATCACACCAAGAGGCAATGATTCTTTTCTGGCAAACAATACAAGGACAGGTCGCAAGATCACTTTAACAGTTTATATACAACCGAGTTTTACCAACTACTTTTTGAAGGAAAAATAAACAGATTAATTCTTAAAGAGTCAACAATTACAATTCCTTTATTTTCTAGGTTCTGAATTAACCACGAATTTTGCTTTCATAAACCAAACTGCTATGACTATACACATATATATAGACTGGATGGTTTCAGAAACAGAAAAGGAAACTGGTCATAATAAATGAAAAAAATCAGCCAGTTTAAAATTCTTCAAATTAATCCTCCATAAAAAAAATCCCTTCCCAAGCAAGAGTACAGAAGCTGCCTGTTAGGTTAGGGCAGTATAACACCATATGAACAGGAATATATTAAGTTCTAAATTATTCTCATTCTCAATGAAAATTGCAATCTTCCTGTAAGAGTGCTCCTGAAATCCTTAGTAGCTTTGTAAAAGACTGTAAAATCAGACCTTGTTCAGTCAAACTCAAGATTCCTCAGCTGTGTGGGTACCGTACCAGAACAGCACTGGCTTTGGAGGTAAAGATGCACAGACTAGGGCCATAAACGTGAACCCTATACAAAAATTGAAATTCGAAGATTTCGTATTCCAATACACTGTGTGGCCACAGCAGAGATGCGAAAACTGAATTTCAGTTTACTATATGAATATTGTTCACTACACCACATAATCAGAACACCGAGTAGAAGATCTTGAAGATTCTGCTGAATTCTACTGCTGATACAGTTTACTCAGTATTACTGACATACTTTTTTTTTTTGCACACCTCAGCTTTGTTATTTTCTAAGTAAAGGGAATCAGCTCCTCTTCCTGTAAAGCACTTTGCAGACCACAACACTCCAACTATACATCTTAGTTGCAGATGAGAGTCTGCAGCTTTTTGGCAGGGTATGTTTTTCACATCAAGGAAAAAAAAAAAAGCTCGCTCTCTCTCTAAAGCAGAAAGAAAAACTCACATGGATGTTCTATGAATTCAGATCCTTTTATGTATTTTACATCAAATTATTAAAAAATAAAATCGAAGGACGTGAATTTTGAAGGGCCACGTTTCCAGACATTCTGTAAACTGGTGTCATAGATAATGCAACTGAATATATAAGCAACCAGTGACAACCAATTCTAGGAACAGCAGTGATTATTTGTTTTGGAAAAGCCTTAGTTATCTACCTTTAAGATTTCATGCATGTTCTCAGAACATATCCAGTCACCTCGATAGCACTTGTCAGAATGGGTATTTCAAAAATAGCTTTTCTGTGGTACCAGTAAGCTTCATATAGCAGTCATCCTTAAACCAACATATTACCAACCCTCACAAGTATCAGAGAGCCATATTCCAAAATAGCCATGTAAATGTTTGATATACTAGTACTGCGTGTGACTTAACTTTTCCCTTTCTCAGGTCAGTTATAGGGCTCAGAAAGGGATGAGCAGACACACAATACTGAAGATGATCACTGTGTGGATTGCTGCTTTTCTTCTCTATGGTCCAGCCATTCTCAGCTGGGAGCACATTGCCCAGAAAAGCATCCTCCCTGAAGGAGAATGTCATGCAGAATTCTTCTACAACTGGTACTTCCTAATGATTGCCTCTACTATTGAATTCTTTACACCTTTCATCACTGTTACATACTTTAACTTAAGTATTTACCTCAACATCAGGAAACGCACATCCCTCAGAAACGAAAATCCATCACCTGGTCAAGAAGACTGCGAAATGAGTTTGCAGGGAGAAAAAAGGAAACACGCTGTATTTTTTGTAAAGCCTGCTAACAGACACAAACAGAAGAAGAGAGCAAGCAGCCTTTCTCCCACAAAAAAGGCTTCAAGGCTTAGCCTACATAGCCTCGACAATCAGCCATTAAATTTGAATGTCAGTCAAGACCTTCCACCCCTTCAGGCAGACGTTGAGACCAAGCCTCACAGGAACGACTACAACAAAACTACGGAAAGCGTATGCAAAGCTGCTAGTAGAGAGGACATTGCTAGCACTACAGCAAATAGATTTAGACTTTCCCGGGATAAAAGAGTAGCAAAGTCTTTGGCAATTATTGTCTGTGTGTTTGGTTTGTGTTGGGCTCCATATACACTCTTGATGATCATCAGAGCAGCTTGCCATGGGCACTGTGTACAGTATTCACTCTATGAGACTTCATTTTGGCTTCTGTGGGTGAATTCAGCCATTAACCCTGTTCTCTACCCACTGTGCCACATGAGCTTTAGGAAAGCCTTTATTAAACTCCTGTGTCCAGTAAAAGCCAAAATTCATCCTCATATTTTTACATAAATAAAACCCCCAAAACTCCACAACTAAAACTAGTGCAAGGGCTGACAATTAGTACATCTTGCTTTCAGTGGGAGCATAAAGTGGCTGATATTCACCTGCAAGTATTATGTGCAGTGTGCACCGTGTATTGTATGGAATACTGACAAATAGGTGCAACTTTACATATTTACAGATGTATAGAAATACAGTTATCCATGTAGCTGGAGAAATCACAGCAATGAAAAGAAAGGTAATTTCCCAAAGCTCTTTGTGAAATTACACAAATAGTATTTTTTCTGGTAATGGCGCACTAGCATTAAAGTGGTGAAAAGGGAATACAACATTCATGGCCAATATCTAGAATTAAAACTCTCTCACTTTTAATAACTATAAATATTGCTCATAGGGAATTTCATAAAGTATTAGCCTTGGACCTGCTACATTTTACCCCCAAACCCACTCTAAGATGCCACGGGTCTCAGCTGTTAAACATAATGTGCTTCCCCCCTTCTCCTTAGGGAGAAGCCAAACAAGATCATGACCAATGCAAAAAACAACTACTGGTTTCCAGGAAAAGCATGGGACAAGAGGCACCAGAACAGTCAGGTTACCAGAGAAGCTGAGCAGCTGTAGCAGGTAAGGGAGCACTCATCTGAGTGGAAAAAGTAATAGAAAAAAATGAGAGTAGAAATTTTAATACAACTACATTCAGGCACATGAACATTAAAGAGTTCTGAGCATTGTGATAGGATATATGAGAACTGAGAGGTCAAACGCTGGAAGAGTTTCATCATGAGTTTCCTCCTTCAGCTCTGACTTCTTGCTCCCTGCCAGGATCCTGCATGGGCAGGAATCTACTCAAGTCAAACCTCTACTCCTTACAGAACTGACAAGCATCACTCTCTTGTCTTTTGCTGTAAGTATAGAGGAAGCATATTTAGTCCACGAGATTTAGGACAGACAGACCTTTAAGTAAACTTCCCTTGGAGTAATTCTTAAAAACACATCTGATTTAACTTTAACTGGTTCCGAAAGGAAAAAAAAAGTTTTCCCCTATTCCATCCATTGGACCTATCCACTTATCAAGTCATCAGTGGTAAAAAAAAAACAACAAAAAAGTAGTATTACTTGAAGTGCATGACTTTGAAAATGTCTAAACATAATGAATATGCAACATGACTCATCTGTTAAAATTTACTGCCTTGCTATTGGCCATAAGTATGAAAAACAAGAATGTAAACAACCACATACGGTTTCTCCCATTCTGCCTCTGCCACAAGAGAAGCTCACACAGCTAGATCCCTCCCAATTTTTTACTAGATTCATCGCACAAGGGGCATCGGTTTGAACACTGCTAGTGATATAAGTTTGTTTCCACCATCATAAGCCTTTTCTATGTAGCTTAACAGAAATGTCCCTTTGCTGACAAAGTGACAGCTATTGAACACCCACAGTCATCCATTGCCATAGCCAAAACACACGTTAGTACACCTGACCGTGAGGCTTACAGACAGTACTTGGAATTATTTACTTTGTAAAATTTAAATAAAAGTAATTAAGAACTGTGGAAGAGTTATAACTTCGTAGCCTTAACAAGTGGTACATAGGAAAAAGCACCAGCCTACAATATTTGGGTAGCTGCAGTTGAAACCACAAAACTATAATTCAAAGACAAACACTAACCGTGAGGATTAAACAAATATGGTTAGCAAATATGGTAAACTAGGAGGGCATATTCCTACTATATGGATATAGCTACATGAACACTGTCATCATGTTCTGCTACAGATGCTTTATAACAAAACAATCAACGATTCTCTTAAGAGGAACAGCATCAACAGATACACAACAATATAAAGATTTTAGAATAGCATTAATTATACCATTGGTCAAGTAGAGCTGTTAGATGATTACTTCCCCATTCCTTCTCCCCTCCAAGCCAGACTTAAACATCAGTAGATGAACAATCTAATTGTCTGCTCCATAATTCTTGTTTCCTAGGATCATTTCTGTCTCAGAAAACAGGTAGCACTAAATTATTGGACACTCCCACTAAGGTCTCATTCATTATCCAGTCAAGCCAGGCCAACTTTCACAACAATGGCCAACTTGAAGAATAAGGAAGTTTAATCAATTAGCTTTAGAATATTACTTCAGTTAAGGTAAAACACATTGCAAAGCTTTAGCAACTGGCATTAACCTACAGACCAGACCAGTCTTCACAGAAGTTGGCAGTTGCTTTACTGTTCAGTTTCCTACGGCTTGGTCATTCAATTGCCACCTGTCTCTAGCACAGACCTAGAACCCAGTAGGATTCTCCACCATGAAAGCATTCCCAAATGTGGACACGCATCATCTCAACATCATTGGAAAAACAGTGGTTCTGAATGACAAATTTCTACATTAGAAATAGCAGCAGCCTCCTAGCTTGTCCAACCGTGTCTCGGTTTTCCTGTCCCTACAGAACAAACTTTTTTTTTGCTTGTATCAGAAGGTTCAACCTTAGCATTGGGTTCAACAGTGGGCTCTGAAGAGACATGAAACAATAGGTGTTAATAGCAACTTTATTGTTTCACTGGTGCAAAATCGTGATACCGAATAAACTTGTGTAATGCATTTTCCCCTAAATTTACAGTAATGAAGGTTATACATATCTATATAGATTGCAATTTATCTATTTTTATACTATTTGGAACAAAATTATCTTGATAAATATGCCCTGTGCACAGTACTGGCCCTCACTGAATGTCACAGAGCCTTAATATGCAAAATATAACTTCTGTTTTTGAACATGGTACTTTAAAACTCTCCAAACATGCATTAATATATTCTAGGTTTTAGGGAAAAATATTACACTTAGTCTTAACTTGCATTAAAAGAAAAGCACAAGCAGAATCTGACATACAATAATCCCAAAAATCTGATGCTCTGTAAGGATCAGACACGGTTTCAGATGACAGTCACTGCCAGTTTAGAACTCTAGTGCTACAGAAGCAACAGTGAACAGACAGAAGAGAAAACAGAACCAGAAGAACCCTACCATGTCACATGGATTTCAAAGGAAGTTTCAGCCATGCTAACTGATGAAACCTGTAGCTGCTGGTCCAACCTTTCCAATTTGTTAGAGTACTCAATACAAGTGTTTGAAGCGCCAGACTGAACACATGAATGTTAACTTAATTTGACATTTCTGAAAGGCACAACCTATTAATCTAGCTTAAAAAAAACATATGGTATGTAAATGAAAAGAAACAAGTACAGTGTGTATCTTCCTAAAGAACAAGACCTTCATAAATTGGCCCCTCAGATTCTGGCGATTCCCTCCTCAGACGCAAGTGCTCCAGTGTGTTGTGAAAGTGTTTGTTAATTTGTTCTGTTTCTTCAGTAGACTCGAGGTTTGGGAGATCTTCTCTTATCTTCTGTATAAGCTGATTCAAAACTTGAATTGTCACCTACAGGAGAATGTAAACAGAAGTCACCAACAAGACCTGTGTATAAGCACAGACATTTGTTTTAACAGACTTGTCTTTAAACTATTGGTATTTGGACAGTTCTTAGAAATCCTGGTAAGACTGCAGGCAAACTGTTGGAGATGGCCTTCTCTCATTCCTCTTAAGACCGTTCTGATTTCAGAGTTTTGTGGAAATTCCCCCATCCCAGCAAATGTGAGGAATTTCTTAAGTCACTAACCTGACAGCTTTGTAACTTTGCCAGGATATTTCTTTCCAGTTTAATAAAAGAAATTAAAATCTTTGAGCTAATAAAGCACAGAATCAGAATGTCCATGCACTCTAACACAATCTGTTTCTTGTGGAAGGTCAGTCACAATGGTAATATCAGGTTTAAAGTTATTCTCAGGGACCAAGTAATTACCTAGGAAAGTACAGCTGCCTACAGGGTTAAGTCCAGCACTACCTAGAACACCACAGCACAAAATGCGCTGCAGACCACCACTGTATTCAGAGACTTTTTACATCTGCCAAGTGTTTTGAAATTGCAAGTTTTATTTTCATCTCTATCAGATAACAGCATCTCCTATACTAGAGCACTACTACAGCAGGCCAGTTCAGTTGCTGGAAAGTCAGCAAACCCCTTAAATTTCTTTAGACATTCTCTTAGAGCTATAGGGTATTCATCAATGTCTACTCTTGAGCAAATGATGACATCAGATGGGATGCTGGTTTCTACTTGATCAAGCAGATTCTTTCATGTTATTTGGGGCATAGAAGTGAATGAAGAATTTAAAGAAATGCTCTTTAAAAAGAGCAACAGAGAGAATCCACTTCCACTTACCGCCTCGTTTTCCTTTTCATAAAAATAGATATATCTATTCAGAATTTCTATGAAAAGTTGGACTTGCAGAGAAGGGTCCATGCACTGATTTGCTATCTTCAGAGCCTTCTTTAGGCATTCCATCACTCTCTTCCCTCCATGAAGCTAGAAGGAAAAAACCCGGAACTTACAAGAACCTTAAGGAGCTCTTGTCACATTTATGGCATTTTCCAGTGGTCTATCACAGAAACACAAAGCTACACACGAAATGTGCAGAACAAGCTGTCAATGAAAGTTCACTTTGCCTTACCTAAACCAGTTTTTTTAAATGAGGCAGCAACATGAACAGTTGTTGAAAGCCGCCTATTACAAGATCAATGAACTCAACTTAGTAATACGTACACTAATGCATACTCTGAGAAGTGGACAGCTTTAGCTTCAGCAGCTTGTATCTTGAATTTGGAAGTTTAGTATTTCACATGCAAACACAGCTACTACAACAAAAACATGCAAAATACAGACTACTTTGACAGGCAGTCTTAAATTAGTTGACACTTAAAAGCTTACATGATACTTCCATCCTAAAATGGAAGTTGTCTCCATTTACGCACTTACACAGCTTACGCTGCAGTGAGATTTAGAAGCTTCATATATTAGAATACATTCCAAGGAAACCTATGTCAGTTAAGTGATGTATCTACTTTAGAAGTGTCTTCAAAAGAAAGGCAGAAGTACGTTGCTGAGGTAGG